CAAATTCCTCTAACACTGCAGATATATCAATAAAAGATTGCCCAACTGACTGATCTCTCTCTCTCTCTCTCTCTCTCTAGTGGTAATTGTGGAGGAACATGGATTCATGGATTTCAGGGTATTTTGCAGAGTGACTGGGATTTTTTTTAATTAGGGATTTTTCAGATTTCCAATAGGGAACACTAGAATTCCTGCTGGGGAGGCAAGTGGCAGGACCCAGGCAGAGAAGCCTGCTCAGAGCTGGCACCTTGGACCCAGCTGGAGGTGGCTGACCTCCTGGTCAACTGGGGCCAGGAGGACATGCTTTGACAGTTGAAAGCAAACCACCATGCCCGGAACATGTTCTGGGCAATAGCTGCCCAGATGGCCGGGCAGAGGGCATAGGTGGCAGAAGTGCTGCACAAAGGCCAACTCTCCAGCCACAGCCCACTGGCAGCTGGCCCAGAGGGGAGATGCCTCTACTGGCTGTACAATCTGCATCCAGGTGTGGCAGATGGGCAGCAGGTCACAGCCAGGCAGCAGCTCCCACTTCCAGACTGCTGCAGTGGGTCAAGGGTGCAGGGAACTCTCATCAGTCCAGCTGGTACAAGGAGTAGTGTCCCCAGGTACCAATTGGCTGGGCCCCAGAAGCTCCTGAAAGCGGGTAGCCCTGAGCTGCTTGACAGGGCAGCTTTTTGTACTGCTGGAGACAGCACAGGTCCTGGCCCTGGGCTCTAGCTCCCCCAGGCTACAGATCCAGGAGGAGCCACGCAGGGTTATTTTTCCCCAAGCGGCACATTTGCCCCACACCAAAGTGCATGCCCGGGCACGTGCGCTGAGGCAAAAAGCTCCGGCTCAAATGTCACTGCTTCTATTTGAGCTGCTGCAAGCACATATGCTTGCATGTGTGGATGCACCCCTTAAGGCTAAAACCCTTCTCTCACTGAGCTGTGACTTGCTAGTAGAGGGCTGGCGAGCAGGGGCTTGACTAGGAGCTACAGCTGTGAGTTGCCACTACAGGGCTGGTGATCCAGGACACGTTCCTATCTCTGCTTTAGGTGGGGGTGTGTAAGAGATGG